CCGGCCTTGGCCTCGTCCCGCGTAATCTGGGCCGGTGCCAGGGGCTGGGCTCGGCCCGGGGGGCCGTGGGAGCTCCGCTCCCGGCTGCGGTGTGGGGCGCCCTCCACCCTTCCCCCGTGCGGGCGGCGGCGCTGGGCCGGGCTCGTCCCTGTCCCCGTCCCCGTCCCCGGGGGCGCAGGAGCAGGTGCGGGTGGGATGACGTGATGTCTATTCCGGGCCAGGCCGCGCTGCCGCCGCCAGAGCCTTTGTTCGCGCCTCCCGGGGGGCCGGGCGGGCAGAGGGGGCGGCCGCCCTGGAGCATCGCCCGGGAGGGGCTGAGGAGGCGCCAGGCGAGACCCCGGATCCCGGCACCGCAGCAGGCGGTGCTTAGGCCCCGGTGGCATAGTCTGGGGTAGGGGAGCCTGGCGCCTGCGGTACCGGGAGGTCCAACCCTTGCTGGGTTCCTGAGTTGAACAGAAAGGCGAGCTCACAAGGGGCGTCGGGCCATGAGTGTCACCAGCGTAGAGAGGCCAAGCGAGCGCGTTAGGGGCTCCTCAGTCCGGTCCCGTGGTTCAAACACAATTTCCATCTCCTCTTTTATCCTCTAGCATTTATCGCTTCTTCCGCACATCATCTGTCCCATCCGGTGCACAGCACGTCTCTTGACATGCAGGTCTATGCAGTGATTGAGCCTGGGCGCTGCATACAAGCACGCTTTTGCCAGGGAGACTTGATAGGTTATTACAATGGTATTAAAAATACTCGATAAATTAAGAAAAGCAAAAGAATAGTAACTTTCACATTCTTATAGGTAAATAATTACAAAACTGCTGAAATCTCCTTATGTGGTGGCTCTTGTTCAAATGGGATGCTAGTAGCTTGGTAGGAGCTTTACAAGCAACTGGGACAAGATCCCTGCCCCAAAGAGCTCACAAATTAAATGTACTTTGTGAATCATTCTTGCTATCTAAAGTATCAGACTGTCTAACAAATGAAATGGCACTCTAAGAAAAACCTATCACAGCTAACTTCTGTATCTAGAACAAGGCGTACTCGCTGTTGTGGTTCCTTGTGTGCCTGAAAGAAAATGTTCTACGTCAGGGGACGTTGAAAATGCTTCTTTTTGTCATTCATGCAAAGGCCTTATCTACAAACAAACTTGCAATGCTTTCACTACAAGTTCGTTTTTAACCAATTTCATTCAACCTGCACAAATCACGATGCGGACGCTTTTAAAGTGGATTAAAATGGCTTTAAGTTGACTTAATACGTATATCAAAATTCTTGAGGAATTTATGTAAGCTAAGTTAATAAAGGACACCTTAACTAAATGAGTATCCACAAAAACCTTAACTAAATTAGTTTAAAAACCAAATTTAGCCAACTTGGTGCAAATCTGTGTGCAGAAAAAGTCAAATAATGTCACTGATGCTAATGTGAATCATCTTTTACAGCCTGCCATGCAATCTAGATTCCAGAGATACCCGGGCTACTTTGAATCTGGTGAGCTAAGCTAGCC